GACGTGTGCTCTTCCGATCTCCCCAAAACCCCAAAACCCCAGTGATTTATACAATAGGCATTGGTTCAAAGTAAGATAATTTATATAAACTCTATCAATTATTATCTAATTCAAGTAAGTATCTGAGTGATTCAGATCTAGTGATTATTGATCGTCTCATTGCAATCATAAGTAAAGTTAAGCATTTAAGTTGTCTCAAGTCCCTCATTTTCTATAGTTTTGTACAAGCTTACCAGTTTCCTCTCTTTACTGCTTAAACTTATCAAGTTTCTACCTGATTTCATCGACTCTGGCAATACCTCCTGCCTTTGCAATATTGTTTTAGCCTTGTGGATTATACTGAAGCTTATCAGCTGGGGCAGGGGAGTACTTAGTGGAGCTAGGTACGTAGTTTGGATTTAAAAGGTTCTTATCATTAATAGGAGAAAGTGGGTTGTTCCTATTTAATGGTGAAGTAGGATTAGTTTGTGGTTGGATCGGCTATAGGTTTATTCTAAACTTATCTGAAGCATCATCTTTCGTATTATTTACATAAGGTGGTATGTTATAAGAGTTGTTAGTTTTATGGGTAGGTTAGTAACTGGTATTATTTTCCTAATTAGTAGGATTAGGCCTGTTATTTACATGTGGATTTGATATTGGCTGCTCGTATTTCACATTATTTTGAGTTACTGGCTCATAATTATTGATAAAGCTAGGAGTCTATCTGGCTTAATGTTGAGTAGCTGGTGGTTTATTTAGAGCTGAAGCAGGCTGGTAGTTGGTTAGAGGAGGATTATTAGCAGGTTGTTTATCCAGATTAGCATCTTTTCTGTTATATACAGGTTCATAGTCATTATTAGATTTGTAATCATTTCTCAGGCCAGTAGCTGGTACATACTACGGCTTATAATCAAGATGTCTGTTTGCACTAACAGGTTCATAATGTTTTTGATAATCATTTGTAACTGGAAGTGGTCTGTTATATTGATTTTGAACAGCATTAGTAGTCGGTTAGAGTGCTGTTTTTTCCTCTTTAACATCTTGGAATTATCTTTTGTATAGCGCCTCTTCATAATCCTTTCTATTTTCGTAGTCGTATAGTCTTTCTCGCTGTTTTTTCTCTCCCCTATCATCTGAAAATACTTGATTGTTCTTGTTTAGGTAAGCTAAAGGATCTATTTGATTCTCTTTTTAGTCTTAGGCAGCGGCAGGTCTTTTATAGTCATTTCTTTAATAGTCGTATCTATCTTATGTTTTTATATCATATCTGTCTGGATTCATGCCAAATCTAGGAAGTGCATAAGGATCGACTCTATCTCTGTTAGGTTCATTTCTAGCAATCTCTTAATATTTCTATTCTAAATTCTAAGGTTTATAGTCATAATGATTAATCCTGGTATAGTTAGGAATGTCTCTCACTCCGAAGTTGTCTAGATTTTGATTTCTGTCTAAGAATTTACCATCGTACTTAACCATATTTTTATCATCAGTTATCTATAGTCTCCAAACAGGGTTATAGCCTTTTTTCCCCTCGTCTAAATCTTCAATTTTCAAAGTAGTCAAGTCATTCTAGTTCACTGTAGTAATAGGTGAGCCCAAGTCCTCCTCAAGTTTTTTCATCTAGCCTGGCGAATTGAAATCAATCGTGGTAGTGTTATTACTGCTATCACCGTTTTTATGGTAAGGATTCTTATTTTTATGATGTTTGTGCCCGCCTGAGTTATAGTTTTATTACTACTATGCTCTAGTAAGTTTGTAAGTGAGATCATCATTTTCTCTCTTAAGCTTGACATTCTCATCCTTAAGTTGCTAATAATCCTACTTCAACTTCTCAAAGTCTTTGAATTTGCCTTCTAACTCGCCAAGTTTAACCTTATTCTAAGCTTCTGACTTTTTAATAGCTTCAAGTTCCTGCTTAAGTCCGTCATTCTATTGAAGTCTGGTATTATCATCTTTAAGTAATTTTATTGTTCGTTCTTGCTCATGATTCTAGTAAGTTAAATCTTATATTTTCTTTTCAAGTAGAGCTGTGCTGTTACTGGCTTCAGCCTTAGATTGAGCGTTTACTATTGGTTGATTTTTATAATTTTGATATATATCTGTATGACTGATTGTATGCTTCATAGTAGGTCCGACCTCTTCTTTTCTTTGATTGTAGTTTTAATAATCATATGGAGGTGTTAATACTCTTTCAAATGCTGCTTCATTCTATATTTATCTGTAGTTATTAGCAATTTATCGAGTCTAAGAGGTATCTCTTTGATTGTTATTTGGCTGCTATTACTACTCATAAAGTGAAGGATTTTGATATCTTCTATTGGTTTCATCATATTCAGTATTATATGTGTTTGAAACCTCTGATGTTTCATTATACTTTCCTATCAATCTGGTGCCAACATAATATTCAGTTTATTAAGAATTTTAGACTTCTTCTGTGTTGCTTGATTGATAGTTATCACTGCTTCTAAGTTTTTAACCTAAAGCAAAAGCAAAGGTGTTTCCAATGCCCAAGCCAAAAACTTATTTATCCTCTATTTATGTAAGTAAGGCTGGGTATAGCTATGGTTATGAATCACCAGTGCCGATTTCATTGCTTGTATTAGCACCCCAAACGTAGGGTTTTCTATCTCTATCAATCAAAACTGTGAAATTTCCTCCAACATGAACACTATCATATTGAGAGGGACACTTATCAGGCGAGAATTAAGATAGCTGAGGAGTTAGAAACTCACCAAATATTCCAGTGCCCCAAACATACAATTGATTTGAATGAGTAATTGCAGCAGAATACTGCCACGCTGACATCTGTCTTACATCTGAAAGTCCTTTGATTTTTTCTGGTACATAGAGATTCGCTTTAGTTCCATTTCCCAACTATCCAAAGTTATTTGCACCTGTTACGTATACTTCCTTTTATTATGTTAAAAACATAGAGTGAAGTTTTCCACAGCACACTTTATTTATTCTTTGCCCATTCAATGCTTGAATTATCGATGGAACTAAGACTCTCTCAGGTAAATTTTATGATTGGCCAAGTCCCAATTAACCCGACTTTGACTCTCCACTAGCGTAAACTCTTTAATTAACACAGAGAAACAATGAATGTCTACTTCCTGCAGCTATATCTATAACATTTTCCTATTGTAATGCTCTAATTGCTTGCGGTCTATCGTTTACTCTTGCTTCTCCAACACCTAATGCTCCATAAAATCCTGATCCCCAAGAGAAAACTTCTCCCTTTCTACTTAGAGCCAAAGTGTGTGAAGATCCACATGCAACTTGCTTAATGTCTGAAAGCCCCTCAACAAGGCAAGGCACATTCGAATTTCTTAGAGTCTTTTCGCCCACACCCAGCTTGCCATCTTGATTTGATCCCATGCAGTATACAAGACCTTCTTGCTCAGCAGCAAAAACCGTATGCTCATCTCCACATGACACTTGATTAATGACTATGTTAAAAGAACAGACTTTTGGCACATGATGTATTGTCTAATCGAGCCCTACTCCCAACTAACCGTAATAATCATCTATGCATAATAAATTAAAGAAATGACTTACTTCCCCAGACATAAATTTCAGTGAATTCTTAACTGTCTTCTGGATTAGTCTAAAACAATCGTAAATATTGCGGATTACTTACATCTTCCATTTTAAATTCAAATTTATCTATCTTATTTTAATTTGCCTGATTTACCAGTTTTATTCCTACTAATTCATCGCCCTGGGGTTTTGGGGTTTTGGGGTTTTGGGG